CATCTCCTCCATCCTCCATCGCATGCCCACATCTGGAAGCCACTGATAGAATCTCTTCTCCATCAAGTCCAAAGTCCTCTTTTCTTATAGCTGGGGTTCACCATCCCCTTTAGCCCATCTGTTTGTCCTCTCTCCTCTCTCTGCTAATATTTCTCGTCTTTCCCACCTCCAAGCCTTTGTTTAAGTGGGTCCCCCCATTACCACCTTCTTTGCAAGTTGTGCTAAACCCTGAGTATCCTTCAGAGCTCCCTTAGTAAACACTTCTCTGAATTTCAACCCACATTCACTCACTCATGTATTCAGCACACATCTATTGAGCACCACTGTTGCTAACTGTCATGATGGGTGTTGGAATACCAAGATGGATACATTGCAGCCCCCATTCCTGTACAACCACCCCATATATTCCTTGAGGGGAGACTCCAGACAAAGGCCAAATCTGAGCTCTCAGTCTCACTGTGTGTCCTTGGACAAGTCACTACCCTCTTCTGGACCTCAGTTTACCCACCTGTAAAGTGGGAAGCATCAGCCAGACTGTCTCCGAGGTTCTACTCTTTCTGTGTTCCTATTTTACATATTCTCCACCTTCCCAAAGTGCTTAGGGCCATACTTGGCACACAGTAGGTACTCACATTCATTAATCTTTGGTTGGCTCTGGGTGACATAGGTTGCAGCTCAGGACAAAGGAGATTGGCCAGCCCGTGCCTCTCTGCCCCCAGCCTATGCCCTGGAGCTCTTGACCATCTTTGCCTGGGAGCAGGGCTGCAGGAAGGACCGTTTCAACATGGCCCAAGGCCTCCGGACCATCCTGAGGCTTGTCCAGCAGCATCAGCAGCTCTGTGTCTACTGGACGGTCAACTACAGCATTGAGGATCCAGCTCTGAGAACGCACCTCCTTGGTCAGCTTCGGAAACCCAGGTGCAGACCCATAACCCCCTTGTCTGCCTTCATCCTCTCTTCCTTCCCCACTGTCACCCTGGAGTCAGTGTACCCAGGAGTGGTGCAAGGTGGGGTTTGGGTCACTAATCCTGCCCCTCACTCTGCTTCTCTCTAGACTCTTTGAGAAAGCATGAACACAGGAGCCCCATAAGAAAGCATGGCCAGTTTTATTAGCATGATAAAACACCATTTCTCACATTAAGGGCCACCCAACAGTTTTCTGACCAAAGCAGCCAGTTGAGGCTCCTCTAGCACTTGAGTGATACTGGGCCACCCCTGAAGTCCTGACACTCTTCCCAGCCCTCAGGCTCCCACCCAGTCCCTCCCACCCACCTGCTCCTTCCCTGACTCCCACCTTCCCACCTGCTCTGCCCCCAGGCCTCTGGTCCTGGACCCTGCCGACCCCACCTGGAATGTGGGCCAGGGAAACTGGGAGCTGTTGGCCCAGGAAGCAGCAGACCTAGAGACACAGGCCTGCTTTATGGGTAAAGATGGGATGACTGTGGAGCCCTGGTATGTGATGGTAAGAGGCCCTCTCCCAGGTCCCCTTAACCTGCCAGTGCACACATCCCCAGCTGCTATGACTGTTGGCTGATGATGGCTCACAGCTGCCCCCTTCTCTGGAGACTTGCCCTCCACTTGATGCACAGGTTGCAACGTCCCAGCCAGTGCCTGAGTGACACATGGGTGCAAAAGGCCCACCCTCATCTCAAGGCAGGATCAACTCTGTGATGCAATTCATGCTCCAGAGCTCCCCATGGGATCAGACAGAAGCACGTCTCCAGCCGATCCCCTAGTCTTGCTGAGCTCCCTCCCCCACCATGTCTACTACTGTCATTCCCCTTCTGCAAACACTGCGCCAGTTAATCATGTGCACAAAAATTCCCATCATAGGCTCTGCTTCCAGAGAACCTGACCTAAGACATAAGCCATTTGCAGCTCCCCAAGAGATATGATTTTATCACATTTGCTTTTTGGCAGCCAGGTCTCATAATCAGTGCTTAACACTCAAGACAATCCAGGGAGACATAGGCCTCTTTACTGCAACCATTTAAAGATGGGGAAGCTGAGGCTGTGCATTGGTGGTGGAACCAGAACTCGAACACAGGGCCCTCTGATGCTACCTCAGGACCAGCCAACCAGCTGAGAATGAAAGGGGGACATGGGAGATAGTGGGAGCCTTGTCCTCAGAGGACATCAAGCTACAGGGCTTGGGTGTTCCTTGGGAGTCTTGTCTTGAGCTACCCCACCTGCATTCTCTCTGCAGCCAGCTCTCCTTTACCAGACCCCAGCTGGGGACCTAGACAAGTTCATCTGTGACTTTCTCCAGCCCAACCGCCAGTTCCTGGCTCAGGTGAACAAGGCTGTCGACACCATCTGCTCATTCCTTAGGGAAAACTGCTTTCGGAATTCTCCTATCAAAGTGCTCAAGGTGGTCAAGGTGAGTCCCCAGACAGCTGTAGGCAAGGAAGTCCCGCAGGCTTGTGATCCCTCCCAGGGCAGGGCCAGGCCTGACCCACTTCTGTAGCCCTTGCAGCAAGCAGCACAAGGCCAGGCATAGAGAAGAAGCCAAAATGTGGTCATGAGTAAATGGCAGTGGGAAAGCCTCGATGTGTCCAACAAGTCTCCTTTGGTTGCTAGTGACACCCAACTCAAAAGAAGCAACAAAAGGAAAGGATGCTGGGGGTGTACAAAATGTCACATTGTCCACTGCACTAGACACAACCTCAACCCACAATTGGAGAGATGCAGGTGAGACCCAGGTCAGCTCCAGAAAGAGTGTTAGCATAGTCAGCCAGTGAAAAGTCCCAGGACTGCTGATTTGCTGTGTGACCACAGGCAATTATATTCCCCTCTCTGATCCCTGCCTTCCTCATCCATAACACTTGAGGAGGGTGGCTTGGTTCACTGGTTCTCAACCCTGGCTTCACTGGCTCCACCCTGGAATCACAAAGGTCTTTAAAATATATACAGACGCTCAAGCCCTATCCCAGGCAAAATTAAATCACAGTCTAGGGAGATAGGAGCCAGCCATCTGTCATTTTTAAAGGTTTCTCAGGTGCAGACAAAAAGAAAGAAAAAAACCACCACCAACAACAAAAACCTCTCAACTCCCCCCCCAAAACATGATGGAATGAGAAATTTTGCATTTGTTGAAAGGTTAAAACTTTCCTCTTGCACACTTCTTTTTCTTACAACCATGTCATATGAAAGATGTAAGACAGAGAGGTTATTTGACTTGCTTAGAGTCATACAGTGGGTTTCTAACCCAGAACACAGAGCCCACAGGCAGGAGGACGTCAAACAGTACTCCAAGGGTCAAGCCCCCTGCCGTATCCTCCCCAGGGCGGTTCTTCAGCCAAAGGCACAGCTCTGCGTGGCCGCTCAGATGCTGACCTAGTGGTGTTCCTCAGCTGCTTCAGCCAGTTCACTGAGCAGGGGAATAAGAGGGCCGAGATCATCTCAGAGATCCGAGCCCAGCTGGAGGCGTGTCAGCGGGAGCAGCAGTTNACAAAGGTCTTTAAAATATATACAGACGCTCAAGCCCTATCCCAGGCAAAATTAAATCACAATCTAGGGAGATAGGAGCCAGCCATCTGTCATTTTTAAAGGTTTCCAGGTGCAGACAAAAAGAAAGAAAAAAAAACCACCACCAACAACAAAAACCTCTCAACTCCCCCCCCAAAACATGATGGAATGAGAAATTTTGCATTTGTTGAAAGGTTAAAACTTTCCTCTTGCACACTTTTTCTTACAACCATGTCATATGAAAGATGTAAGACAGAGAGGTTATTTGACTTGCTTAGAGTCATACAGTGGGTTTCTAACCCTGAACGCAGAGCCCACAGGCAAGAGGACATCAAACAGTACTCCAAGGGTCAAGCCACCTGCCATATCCTCCCCAGGGCGGTTCTTCAGCCAAAGGCACAGCCCTGCGTGGCCGCTCAGATGCCGACCTAGTGGTGTTCCTCAGCTGCTTCAGCCAGTTCACTGAGCAGGGGAATAAGCGGGCCGAGATCATCTCAGAGATCCGAGCCCAGCTGGAGGCGTGTCAGCGGGAGCAGCAGTTCGAGGTGAAGTTTGAGATCTCCAAATGGGATAATCCTCGTGTGCTGAGCTTCTCACTGAAATCCCAGACAATGCTGGACCAGAGTGTGGACTTTGACGTGCTGCCAGCCTTTGATGCCCTAGGTGAGGTGCCCAGCCATAGGCCTGAGAAGGGGAAGAGCAGAGTCAGGGCCGCCATGGACAGTTGTAGAGGTTGTGCGGTGCACAGCCAGGCTACACCTGTTCACACTGCAGGCATTGTAGATGTGTGTGTTTATCACAATGTTCCTGCAAAGTGTCTAGAGAAAAGCGTGCCTTTTCGTAATTTGCACAAAGATGCTACATAGGCTATAACAGTGGTCAAGCTGGGTTCTAGTCCCGGCAATTCTACTAATATGCTGAGTCACCTTGAGCAAGGGATTTTCCCACCCTGAGCCCCAGGGTCTTCATCTGACAGTGAGGACATTTCTGAAGTGTCTCAGCACATCCCCAGCTTTGAGTATTTGTGTGCCACCTTCTCCACCTGCCACAGATCCGTTTATTCAGGTCATTCAGTAAATGCACCTACTGTATACCTGCTACTCTTCCAGGCACCAAGGATAAAGCCCTGAACAAAACAGACACAAATATCTTCATATCTCTTCTGTTCTGAGTGTGGACAGGAGAGTTTGCAGAGTGAGAAAATCCCTTACCTACTGTATACCTGCTACTCTTCCAGGCACCAAGGATAAAGCCCTGAACAAAACAGACACGAATATCTTCATATCTCTTCTGTTCTGAGTGTGGACAGGAGAGTTTGCAGAGTGAGAAAATCCCTTGTATCTGAATTTATTTGGTTCCTGAGTTTTGGAGAACAAGTAGCAAGGGAGAGATTTATGCAGAAATTGATCTGGATCTATTCAGTTCATCAGTTCAGAGAGCAAGAATTTGGATATTAAGGAATGCCTTTAAGTGCAATGAAACCAGAATGGTGATGTTAACCCCTTGCCATATACAGTTCTGTTACCCACAGGAGGCTTTAAGATTCAGTTTGCTGTGTGTGTGTGTGTGTGTGTGTGTGCGTGTGTGTGTGTTAGAGAGATGAGTAAGTATTAGAGAGGCATTAAAGACATGTTAGCATCCGTTAAAGACATGTTGAGACTTTCTCCATGATGGGTAGGCAAGTGGTTTGAAAGAGGGCAGAAAAAGGAATACAGCTCTCACCAGGGATTTAATGCTGAGTCATGCCACATCTGTGTTCCACCTAGAAACACCCTGTAGCCTCTCATGGGTCCTAGGCCACCCTTAGAGAAATGCCCAAGTGGGAGATCTCAGAAGTCCATTCTAAGTTGGCCCCCTGGGACTCTCCCTCTTCAGGTCAGCTGGTCTCCGGCTCCAGGCCCAGCTCTCAAGTCTACGTCGACCTCATCCACAGCTACAACAATGCGGGCGAGTACTCCACCTGCTTCACTGAGCTGCAGCGGGACTTCATCATCTCTCGTCCCACCAAACTGAAGAGTCTGATCCGACTGGTGAAGCACTGGTACCAGCAGGTTTGACACAGGGACAGGCCATCCCCCAGCCGCCCTGTGCTCTGCCTCCAGGGCACTTTCCCAGCCTAGCCAGGTCCCTGCGTGGGTGGAGCAGAAAGGAGAATACACCCTAGCTCTGGGACCTTAGGTTTCTTACCTGTAAAGTGTGAGTGACATAACCATGTCACAGGATTTGATGGACTAATGCATGGCAAGGCATCTGGCATATGTAGGTGCTGAATAAAAGTTTGGGAGTCAGTTCCTGCACCTCACCATTGCCAATATGGACCAACACATCTTTCTCCTTGTTCCCCAGTGCAACATGATGCCCAAGGGGAAAGGCTCCCTGCCCCCCCAGCACGGGCTGGAACTCCTGACAGTGTACGCCTGGGAGCAGGGCGGGCGGGACCCCCAGTTCAACATGGCCGAGGGCTTCCGCACCGTCCTGGAACTGGTCACCCAGTATCGCCAGCTCCGCATCTACTGGACCATCAACTACAATGCTGAGGACAAGACTATTGGAGACTTCCTGAAACTACAGCTTCAGAAGCCCAGGTTGCAGTCCTCCCCCAATATCCCAGAGACTCAGTCTCGGGACCACTCACTCTCTCCCCACCTCCTAGGGCACAGAGCGGGAGGACCTTCATTCTAGAATCGAGTTCCTTTCTAGAAGTGACATTCTTAGCATCTAAGGGACAAACAGTCAGTTTCCTGGTCACCTGTGAATAGGGTTGTGGGGTAAATGCAAGACTCCAACTTAAATTTAGTTCCAGATAAATGATGAATAACTTTTTATGTCCCATGTAATATTTGGAACATTATGCTTAAAAGATGTATTCATTATTTATCTGAAATTCAAATTTAACTGGGCATTTTGTATTTGTATTTGTTAAATCTGGCAACCCTACCTGTGAACCCATTAGATAACATAAGCATGTCTCTTTCTTTGGGATTTTGCCTACCTCTGAAATGGGTGCAGAGGTAACAGAGATACTTTCACAAACTTATGATGCCAGTGGGCAGTGACCGCTTAGAGTGATGTGTTGAAGAAGATTCTGAGGTTGTGATTTGGCTCAGCTGAACAGAGTAGCCTCATCAGTTAGTGGCATCTACCACGGATGCAGGATCCAGTGCTGTGACTGATTAACAATGCCTGCTTTACTGTAGAAGGGGTAAGCGGTAGCACTGTGATTGATTAGTAATGTCTGCCTGGGTGCAGAATGGAAAAGTGGCCCATACAAAGCTTATTTTCTATCCCTGCCCTGAGTGTGTGCCTGGAGCTCTGAGAAGTCTCTGAGCCCTGCCCCTGGTCTCTGCATTGTGTTGGGTGAGGGAACAGAATAGTCCAATCAATGCCACAGGTGGGAACCTAGACATTGCCAGAAATAAGACTGACCTTGGATGGGAATTGCAGGCCCATCATCCTGGATCCAGCTGACCCAACGGGCAACCTGGGCCACAATGCCCGCTGGGACCTGCTAGCCAAGGAAGCTGCAGCCTGCATATCTGCCCTGTGCTGCCTGGGCAGGGATGGCACCCCCATCCAGCCGTGGCCAGTGAAGGTGAGAGATCTGTGATGCTGAAGGGAGCACCCTTTGTTGGGGTGGGGACAGCATGGTCAAGGGAAGGGCACGACTCCTCCCAAAAGAGCAGGATCCAGTCATGGCCCCAGGTGTGCCCCTGTTCCTCCATTTCCTGTCTGGTCTCAGCTTCTGTAGGAAGGTTGGGGGTAAACAACATCTTCTGTGACACTCCCCACAGGCTGCTGTGTGAAGCCCAGGAAATCAGCGGTCCTACAGGATGGGTGCCAGCCCTCAGAGTCCCCTGCCAGATGAGCCTCTGTGTGTGTGTGTGTGTGTGTCCAGTGAATCCACTCTCCTCCTCAGTCCAGCCTCCATCTGATCTCCCTGCCTCACTGCTCTCTCCCCCTTCCTCCTGCTGCCCACTCTGCTTACCCAGCCTGATTGCTCTTCATTAAACACCACCTTGTATCAGCACCCAGCTCACACACTCCTCTGCCTCCCATAACTCGTGCCCTGGGGTCCAGATGCCATGGTTTGGCACCAGCCTGCGTTTCCAGCTTCTCCATCCAACATTCCCCTCCCCCACTGTGACTCTATCCTCCTACCACTACTGCTGCCTCCTGCACGTTTCCCACCCCTGCAAAGAATGCTTCCTCCTCCCTGACTCCTCTCTGCCCATCCTAATCAGCTCTCATCCTGCCTCCTGCTGCAACACATCCCACCACACGTGCTCTAGGCCACCCCCTTGAATGCCTCTAGAATTAGGGGAGTTGTCAGATGGTGGAACCAGGGCAGCACAGGTGTGTGGGACATGAGAAGTCATAGTCATCTGGCTGGACAGAGAAGGGATCTTGCTGATCCGAGCAGGGACATATTTTATTCTAGTCCCTCAGTCTTTGACAATGGCCACCCTGGTATTGTCATATTGGCCCCACTGTGACTTTTGGGGGCTTCCTGATATAGCCACACCCTCGGATAGAAGGACTTGACCTCATAAAGAGATCGATTCTCCATAAGTTGATTTATACATTTGATGATTTTCCCAGAAATACCTACACATACTTTACTTTGGAACCAGGCAAGTTGATACTAAAGTTCTTATGGAAAAATACACAAGAATAGCTAAGAAAAGTCAGAAAATGAAGAGTCCTGAGGAGGGACTAGTCTTAGCCAACATTAAAAAATACTATGAAACCTCTAGTGTTTAAACAGCATGGTAGTGACATATAAATGAACAGACCAGAGAAACTGGGTGGCTATTTCCATGATTCTGGAAAAAAAAAATAATAAAAAGGTAAATGTGATCCATCAGCAGTTGAAAGCTAAGCAGAGAGACAGAGGGCCTCCGTGGTAGCACATGAAAATGCTCACATCTCCTGCAGCCAGAAAGCAGAGAAAAGTAAAGACTGAGTCCCGAATTGAACTTAAGAGATGCAGGGCTCCAAAGAAAGTGTTGTGGTTTTTTAAAATTTGTAATTTAATTTTATTTTTAATTTTAAAAGTTTTTATTGAGATGTAATTCACATACCATAAATCTTACCACTTTAAAGTGAACAATTCAGTGATTTTAGTATATTCACAGGTTTGTACTTGGCATACTTACAAGTTATATTTAGTATATTCACAAGGTGAGCCATATCACAGATGCATTCATCACACTAATTCTAGAGCATTTTCACCACCCCAAGAGGAAACCTGAAACTCAGCAGTCAATCCCCACTCCTCCAACTCATTGTTCCCCTAATTCCTGTAAACCACTGATCTGCTTTGTGTATCTATTATGAACATTTCTTATAAATGGCATCATGTAACACGTGACCTCCTGTGTCTGGCTTTTTTCACTTAATATAATGTTTTCAAGGTTTATTGAAGGGTTTATAGCATGTATCAGTGCTTCATTCCTTTTTTCTACCAAATAACATTCCATTGTATGGCAAGATCCCATTCGTTTATCCATTCATCCATAGATGGGCATTTGAACTGTTTCCACTTTTTGGCTGTTATGAATAATGTTGCTATGAACATTCACATATGAGATTTTGTGTAGAAATTTATTTTCATTTATCTTAGGTAAATACACCATATTGGCCAGGATTCTCCAGAGACACTGAACCAATAGGATATATTTAAATATATGGAAAAAGATTTATTATGAGGGATTGGTTCAGGTGATTATGGAGGCTGAGAAGTTCCATGATCTGCTCTCTACAAGCTGGAGACCCAGGAAAGCCGGTGGTGTCATTCAGTGCAAGTCCGAAGGCCTGAGAACTGGGGAACTGATAGTATAAGTACCGGTCCAAGTCTGAAGGCCCAAGAACCAGGAGCATCAGTGTCCAAGGGCAGGAGAAGATCAATTTCCCAGCTCAAGCAGAGAGAGTGAATTCATCCTTCCTTAACTATTTCATTCTATACCATTTCATTCATTCATTTCAGGCCCTAAAAAGATTAAATGATGACTGCCTGCACTGGTGAGAGTGATCTTGTTTATTCGGTCTACTGATTCAAATGCTAATCTCTTCTAGAAACACCCTCACCAACACACCTAGAAATAATGTTTTACCAGCTATCTGGGTATCCCTTAGTCCAGTCTAGTAGACACATAAAATCCACACTCACACAGACCTAGGAATGGAATTGCTGAGTCTTATGGTAACACTATGGGTAACTATCTGAGGAACTGCGAGACTGTTCTCCACAGCAGCTGCACCATTTACACACACCCACCCCCAGCAACAAGGAAAGTTCCAGTTTTTCCATGTCCTTGCCAACACTTGTCCATCATTTTGATTGTAGCCATCCTAGTAGGTGTAAAAGAAAGTTACGCACTGTCAAAATTCTCAGGTCTGCTACATGAGGTCAGAACCCTGCATAAGAAAGAATAGGACCCTGACACATAGAGTGGGGACATAAGCGTGCCCCTGAGAATTTTGAATCCCAGATTCCCCTGAACCCTAAGAGCTGTAGACCTGTCCACTCCTCCATATTAAGATCTAGCACCTCTCTCGTTTGGAAAACTTGCAGAGGCTTCTCATCCACAAGATATATGTCCCTGTTGTGAGGTTGCTCACACAGAGGAATCCAAGATCAACATTGGTATTACAGCTCTTTATTAGTTAACAGCTCTTTTTGGTGTTTCAGCTCTTTTTGTTGTTACAGCACTTTATTGCTTGTAAGCAAGGAGAGCATGAGCATCAGGCTAGTGTCTCCCTGAATGAAGGAAAGGGGCAGCCTTATATAACCAAAACTTCCTGCCCAAGTTCTCATTTAGGTCCTCTTATGCAAATGAGGGATGCAAGCCTGTTAATTGGGATTGGTTGGCTATGAGACATAGCTCATTGGTCAGTTCTGGAGCCAAATTTGCATTTGGCCCTTAGGGCAGTGCGAAACCACTGTTACCTTTCATTAGCACACGGGTGCAGGAAGCAAGCTAGGTTACAGAAGCTAAAGTTTGCAATTAAGACAGCCAAGCGTAAAATTTCTAAAACAGTTTCTCCCGTGGAAGGGATCAGGTTTAACAATCAGAAAATGCTCAGGGTTCCCTGCTTCATCCCCCAGGACCTGCGCCCACATCTCCTCCTGCCCACTAGGCCTGTGACTAGGTTCAAGTTCCAGCATGATCCAGCTGGGGACATGCTGGGCCTGATAAGGAAGGAAAGGACCTACATCCCAAAGTAGCCAGAGGACCCAGCCAGTGTGTCCCAGCAGAAGTCGGGTAAGTATGTGTGGGAGTGGACGTTGAGGGGGCTTGATCAAGGCGGCTGCAGTGTAAGACCAGATAAGGGAGAGTTTATTAATTTGGAAGTCCCTTTTGGGAATTCAGGACTTCATACCCTGGCAAGTACTTGAGGAGAAGGTGCAAACTTGCTGCTAGGAAGGCTCCTAGAAGTGACAGCCCACATTAAGTGAGATCAGCTCTGAGCGCAGGAGTTGCATGTCTGTTTCTCTCTGGTCTGTGCACTCTGGGGCCTGTCTTTGCCCTTGCTGGGGGGTGGTCAGTGCCTCGTGAGGCACTGCTGGAGTTCACATGTGTGCTGAGGAATCGGGCACACAGAGGTTCCCAACCCACTGACCACACGGGGACCTGTGTTTACCCAGAGGCAGAATCAAAACCTGAGTCCCGCAGGGCCCCTGTCCTGCTGTGTGTCCCTGAGCAATTCAGTTTTCCCTCTCTGAGTCTCTGTCTCCTTTTTTTTTTTATTCTTACAAATTGTACTTATTCTTCATGCCCCTTGTCCAATCTCTCCCTATCCCCCTCTCCCTCGCCACTCCCACCACTGATAATCCTAGATTTCTTCTCTCCTTCTGAGAGAGTAATGGTTACACTGTTGATCTGTTGCCTAGATGATCTGTCCAATGCTGAGAGGTGTGATCAGGTCCCCCAATATTATCACAGAGCAGATGCTTCTTCTGTCACTCTGGAATGGGCTTTGTGGAGAGAGACATCCT